TGGACAGTTCTGCAAAGCCAGCTGCCACCTGAAGGTTTGTGCAGTTTTGCACCTTGGCCTGTGTACCTGATGCTGCTGCCCTCCTCCAGTTTGGTCTTGTAGCCCCACCTTCCCTGGATCACTAATTTCAGACTTAAAACACTCAAACTGAGCTTGCTCTCACTGTCACAGGAGTTACAAAACTTCAGTATAAGCAGTCCTACAAGCTTATACCACATTTCTTTAACCTTCCTTCCATTTTCTGAATGAAGTACAGCTCCTCATAGACAAGTATCACCAGAATGTGGGTGCAAAGTGATGCCTTCACCCTTATTGCTAGACAAGCAACAGAAGCTTTGTTTTGGCCTGATTGATATTGATACTCTAAATGAGCCAGAATTTATTGGGTTTTGTTTTGCTTTTTTTTCTTCCTCTTCTAGCTTAATTTTTTTATTACTGTACCAAGGTGTAAATCTTCTATCTCCTAGTAGCCACTAGGAGAAGGCCAGTAGGCATCCATGGTTCTAAACAGCAGAAAATTCCCCTTCCAAATAAGCAGTTCCTGCCTGACGTGCCACATAACCTGGTCAGCAGTACCTCAGCCTCCTGGTTTCTTTGGGTTTTGTTACCTGCCACAAGATAGGGTGGAAATTTCTCCTTATGCTCTTTGTGTTTATCCCTTTTGTAATTTTCACTGGAAGGCGGGGTATTTGTTTTGAAGCTTCGTAACAAAGTCTCTCTTACTTGTCTAAATCTTTTAACGTTCTGCTTAAAGTATTTACCCCTGATCTTCCCATTACTCTGGCTATTACTTTATTAGCCTCTGTTAAAGCTAATAAAGTCAAGCTCTTTTTTTTTTTTCCACTACTTTTTCCTATTTATCCCTTTTCATCTACTCCTCTTCCTTTATACTCTATGTACCTCTATCTTCTGTAAAACACATACATGTAAGGTTACAGCTGGGTTAACAAACAAGAAGGTGTTATGACAGGAACATCCCTGTGCACTGGCTTCCAGCAGTTTCACTGTTTCTGTGTTTGTCCATTATACCCTTAGCAGAGACAGAGCAGTGGCAGTGGTTCTAAATGTGGTGGCTGGCTGTGGGGCCTGCTCAGTGCTCACCAATGCCAGGCACACACTCGTGCCACGTTTCCTTCACCCTCAGGAGCTGTGCCCGACTGCCAGCAGAGATATCTTCTGCTGTGTGGGGCATCCCTCCCCACATGCACCTCCCACAGGACGGACTCTGTCCTGTTCTGTGCATTAGCTGAACTGGGTGACTGGTTTTGGGGCTGTGCCCAGACACTTGTGCATGGCACAGGCTTCTCCTAAGCCTGCTGGACGCCCAGTCAGCCCTGCAGAGGGGTTGAACTTGTAACAGTTTTCACTTGGCTCTTCAACAGCTGTTGTAAAGCAAAGATTTACTTGTCGTGTTCACGGAGGTCCTATCTTGAATCTTTTTGGTGTTTTGGTGCTAGTGGTACACTCTCTCAAACGCTTGCTTTCATTTCCTCAGTACCTCGTCAGAGCAGCTCAGATGCCTCCCGGGCACTGCAGTGGTCCTGCCTGGTGTTAGTTTCTTCTCTGCTGCAGTGACAATCCTCATGTCCTTGCCATTTTCCTAACACTCCTCCAGTTTATCACACAGTTTCTGTGTATCTGCCTGCTTCTTTATCACACAGTTTCTGTGCATCTGCCTCTTACATACACACTGCATCTTCATCTCAATGCTTTTCCCTGCAGAGGTTGAATTATGGAGTATTTGTCTCCTGTATGCAAAATTTTCGCCCTGTCTCTGGCCAAGGTGACTTGTGTTCTTTTTCATGGGGATCTTGTTAAACCTTCCCCATGGGTAGCTCAATCACGTTGTGACCAGACTGCCTGAAGTCCTGCCAGGCTAATTTGGAGCCACCTGGCCTGTAGCTACACCATGCTGCAGCCACATCTGACTGATGAAGACTCAAAATCTGCCATAAAACTATGCAGAGCCTTGCTTGTCACAGTGCAGTTACAACGATGGACTGAGGGTTACCCTGCCTGGCCATCCAACATAACAGTAAGCTAATGGCTAGGTTTAGTTTGTTTGCATTTCTGCCAGCCCCCAATAGAG